AGTGGCCAGCATAGCTACTCAGTGGCCAGCATAGCTACTCAGTGGCCAGCACAACTAGGTCAGGTGGCCAGCATAGCTACTCAGTGGCCAGCATAGCTACTCAGTGGCCAGCATAGCTTCTGAGTGGCCAGCATAGCTACTGAGTGGCAAGCATAGCTACTGAGTGGCCAGCATAGCTACTGAGTGGCCAGCATAGCTACTCAGTGGCCAGCATAGCTACTGAGTGGCCAGCATAGCTACTCAGTGGCCAGCATAGCTACTCAGTGGCCAGCATAGCTATTCAGTGGCCAGCACAGCTACTCAGTGGCCAGCATAGCTACTCAGTGGCCAGCTTAGCTACTCAGTGGCCAGCTTAGCTACTCAGTGGCTAGCACAACTAGGTCAGGTGGCCAGCATAGCATGTCAGTGGCCAGCATAGCTTCTCAGTGGACAGGATAGCTACTCAGTGGCCAGCATATCATTGGGCAGTATAACTACTTAATCGCCGTCATAACTATTTAGTCAGCACATTTGAAAAACCTTTGAACTTGAGCTTTAAAAAAAAAAAATTGGAACTAATAAATTTATGATAAATGACATCTTAACAGTGTTGTTCATTTTTTGAGAGCTACACTCCACCTGCCTAGCTCATTCTATGTAAAGGTATCATTGAAAAGGTTACTAAGTGACAGTCAGTACAAAGTGTCTAGTTTAAAAACTGTTCCATTTCGCTTTAACTGGTTCCGGTATTTTATTTTAACCTAACCATATAATATCCACATATTCTAAGTATTTAACATTGGAGAGGGGACTCAAAAGTTTCTTATTTCCTATGTTAACATAAATAACTTGGTTCTATAATTGGTTAATTTATTAGTTTGTCTTTGACTTGGGTAGATTCATAAAATAGTGCAAATCCCATCTACATGCATAGGAGCCGCAATGATCAATAAATTGATCGTGGGCCCTTAAGATATAGAAGAAGAAGGACACCAGCCATTTTCTTCAAGTTATACAAATAATTTTGGGACCGCCTCGTTAGCATCTACGTCACAGGTATTCTCAGTTACCCTCTACGCCACAGGTAGTGTCAGTTACCCTCTACGCCACAGGTAGTGTTAGTTACCCTCTATGCCACAGGTAGTGTCAGTTACCCTCTACGCCACAGGTAGTGTTAGTTACCCTCTATGCCACAGGTAGTGTCAGTTACCCTCTACGTCACAGGTAGTGTCAGTTACCCTCTACGCCACAGGTAGTGTCAGTTACCCTCTACGCCACAGGTAGTGTTAGTTACCCTCTACGCCACAGGTAGTGTTAGTTACCCTCTACGTTACAGGTAGTGTTAGTTACCCTCTACGTCACAGGTAGTGTTAGTTACCCTCTACGTTACAGGTAGTGTTAGTTACCCTCTACGTCACAGGTAGTGTCAGATGCCAGCCACGCATAAGAGTGAGGCAATCGTCCATCTTTATGAGACGAATCGTCCAGCTTGATTTTATGGACACCTCCGGTAGTGATTTATAGATCTAATCATTTAGGGTCCATCTCGGATGCTCATTCCGTAGTATAACCTCGAGTATAACCTCGACAAAATGTTTTGTTTGGCTTTTGTTTTTGTTTGTTTTGTTTTTGGCCTTCTATTTTGAGAGTAAACTTTTCCTTTCACGCATACCGGTACTATATATAGATTGTCACCCCCCTTTTTTCATCTCTCTTTGCCAGGCGAAACCATCATCAGCTATGCTCTCCCAACTCCCATTCGCTGGTGTTGACGCCGACTGTCTCCTTTTCTCTTACACACGTCTTTGTAGCGCAGTCTCGGTTGTCAAATGCCCCCACTACACTTCCCCGTGCAGTAGGTCTTTAGGATTGCGTTGTTGCCCATTCTCGACTTTGGCCTAACCGAGGAAAGCGCATTTTGCTAAGAGCGAAGAACATGCTACACCTTTTTGGCACGTTCCAGAACCTCAGTGTTAGGCAGCTTGCCCTGTCGTCGGTTGAGGAGAACGAGGCGCATACTCATAGGTCCCCTCCGTACGGCCACAGAAACAATTTCAGAGTCTAGAACTCCTTTGTTTTCTCTTAGCCCCTACAAGGGTGATGTGTAGTAAACCATTCACACTACTCAACAACAACAACAAAAAATTAAAAATCACGATATGGTTTGAATTTTTAAAAAAGTAGTCTTTAATTATTTATATACTGTGTTAAACACAGTGCACAATAATGACAACAAGTGATAATGTCGTTCACAGTAGAGAGGGAATTCCTGTTCACTACAACGATGATGTACTCAGCTCAGCAAACTCATAACTCACTTCTTTAAAAGAATGGATTCTTGTCGCTCTCACAGCCATTACTACACACCACTTTTCACCGCGTGTTTTTTTTTTTTCAACACACCACCACGGTAATACGTCATAGCTCATACGTCATTCTCGGCTGAGGATAATTGGTGCGATATAAGGGGACGTAATTAAATGAAAAAACACAATCGCTCATTGTCAAAATTAGATACAGAACGACATCACGTGATCTGACAGTGACAGTGGTCTATGCTTCAATGCCCTGGTGAATATAAATTAAATGTTAAATCATAACAGCCAGAACAGAGTACATGAACTGCTCATTCCTGCCAAAGATAACCAGTGACTGGAACAAGCTTTCAAAAGGAACAGTTGAGGCTACAACACTTGACACATTTGCGTCTATTGCATCTGGCCTTCCAACCCCCAGTGCTTGATATCTTCTCAGAGTAACTAGTAACCTTTGCAACCAGTGAAATATCCTCTTCAACACCATGCACAGAAACATCGCGAATCCCCTCTACATAAATAGGAGCCAGAATGATCAGTACATTCATCGTGGGCCCTTAAGATGTAAAAGAAAAATAGATGCGTGATTTAATCATGTCTTAAATTATGGTGCGCACCAAATAGCAGCCATTTAGCGCGCCAGATTTTATGACGTATGTCAGTGTGTGTTAAATGCATTGAAATCACGCATTTCCGTTTACCATTAATTTAAGAAGAACCCAAATCCGTCTTTGAGTTAGTCGGAATGGTGTTTGCTATTATTGACTGGTATTGACAGGTCCCACTCTCATGATGTGCTGTATTCCAGTCTTGGTCTAGAGCTGAAATAACGGTAACTTGTAAATAGCTATAAAAGCACTTCCTAGAAGTCGAATCTCATGTTTTTGTTTTATTAATTGTCTTCATTTCCATTGGTCAAGGCGACAACAATACAAAGGTTTCATTGGCCTATTAACTATTACTATACTGTTATATAATGAATTATGGAACAGCTTGCCCCATTCTTTGAGGTAAATTGAAAATTATTTTAAAAAATCATTTAAGAACATTCAAAGACATTTTTTTATTGATCAGATTGTTCAGATTTAGCGGCCCACGACGACTTTGTTTTGGATTCACTCCCCTTATTTTTTTTGCTAAAAGTTATTAATTTTTTTTTGGGTAAAAGAGATTTTAATGTCATCCTCAACAAAAATGTGGATGACTAGTACTGTTCAGTGTAAGAATAAGTTAAACACGATGTCAGATGATGAAGACTTCTTTTTATAAGTAGTAAAATAGTTACCTATACAAATTATCGATGAATGATAATGATGGCTAGGAAAGCCCACAGTTGCGTAGCTGGGGTTAATGTCGTCTGGGGGGGGGGGGGCAATACTTTTCCCGCCCCTCCCCCAAAAATAACTCTGCGTTTAGCCTAAAGTGCCCCCCCCCCTTTTAAAGAAAAAAGTCCCACCCCTCCCCCCCCCTATTTATTTTATAAGTAGTAAAATAGTTACCTATACCAATTATCGATGAATGATAATGATGGCTAGGAAAGCCCACAGTTGCGTAGC